AGCATACCTCCTTCGGCCACCACCCCCAGAATCCGAAAGGTGGCTTCCAGAGATACACCCGTCGCCCGAGAGACACCCAAAGCCACCCAACGGGATACCGGAGAGGGATCAGAACATCCCGAGGCAATCCAGATTCCACAGCAAACTACACCACCGCCAAGAACCTCAACGGAATGGGATGGACCCCGGTACCCTTTCCCCTACCTAGGAACTAGCGTGCCTGTGGGAGAGAGGAAAAAAAAAAAAAAAAAGGAAGGGCAAAAGGGAGGGGTGGGGAGGAGGAGGAGGAAAGGAAAAAGGGGAGGATGGGGAGGATGGGATAGGGGAAGGGGGATTGGGGGGTAATTAGGTTCGGTCTGAGGAAGTAGACAGACAGGTCTAATTCCTCAGACCAAGAGCCTCTTCACCACGCCAAGGAGCCCCCCTTGAAGAGGATTTACCGTGAAGATGTCCTGTCTAAGGGCAATGTGTGGTGTAAATATTATGCAGAAAATTCGGTGTGTGGAAATTAGGTGTGGAGTTAATAGAAGTATTAGTCAGAGGGCTGAAGAGGGGTTGTTGAGGTGGTTTGGTCATTTAGAGAGATGGACTCAAATTTCAAACACATATACAACAAATTTCCCCCAAAATTTCCAAGACTGTAGGCATACTATCAAAGATACGGTACTATGTTCCACAGTCAGCCCTCCTGGCCCTATATCATTCCCTTATTTACCCCCATCTCACCTATGGAATTTGTGCATGGGGCTCAACAATAAACCATCTCAGACCACTAATTACCCAACAAAAGGCTGAAGTCAGAATGATAAATTCCCACTACAGGCAGCACACTCCAATATTCAAAATTCTAACCCTACTCACCATACAAAACATCCATACTTATTACTGCACCTACTAGATACATAGAACACTGAACTCTGATATAAACCCTCCCTTTAAACGTCTCCTTAACAACCTCAACAGAACACATGACCATAACACAAGGCACAGATCACTCTTTGATGTTCCTCGTGTCCATCTCACACTATGCAAAAACTCAATGCACATAAAAGCCCCTAAAATCTGGAATTCATTACCTGTGAATATAAAAGAAACACCCTGTTTATAAATTCAAGTCTCTTCTCAAAAATCACTTACTCACCCACAACTAAATAAATACTGAATAATTTTTTTTTTTCCAGCAAGTCGGTCGTCTCCCACCGAGGCAGGATGACCCAAAAAAAAGAAAGAAAATCCCCAAAAAGAAAATACTTTCATCATCATTCATCACTTTCACCACACTCGCACATTATCACTGCTTTTGCAGAGATGCTCAGAATACAACAGTTTAGAAGCATATACGTATAAAGATACACAACATATCCCTCCAAACTGCCAATATCCCAAACCCCTCCTTTAAAGTGCAGGCATTGTACTTCCCATTTCCCGGACTCAATAATTTCCAGGACTGAATAATTGTATCTCATCAATTGTATCTCATCAATTGTATCTCATCAATTGTATCTCATCAATTGTATCTCATCAATTGTATCTCATCAATTGTATCTCATCAATTGTATCTCATCAATTGTACTCATCAATTGTATCTCATCAATTGTATCTCATCAATTGTATCTCATCAATTGTATCTCATCAATTGTATCTCATCAATTGTATCTCATCAATTGTATCTCAATCAATTGTATCTCATCAATTGTATCTCATCAATTGTATCTCATCAATTGTATCTCATCAATTGTATCTCATCAATTGTATCTCATCAATTGTATCTCATCAATTGTATCTCATCAATTGTATCTCATCAATTGTATCTCATCAATTGTATCTCATCAATTGTATCTCATCACTGTATCTCATCAATTGTATCTCATCAATTGTATCTCATCAATTGTATCTCATCAATTGTATCTCATCAATTGTATCTCATCAATTGTATCTCATCAATTGTATCTCATCAATTGTATCTCATCAATTGTATCTCATCAATTGTATCTCATCAATTGTATCTCATCAATTGTACTCATCAATTGTATCTCATCAATTGTATCTCATCAATTGTATCTCACAATTGTATCTCATCAATTGTATCTCATCAATTGTATCTCATCAATTGTATCTCATCAATTGTATCTCATCAATTGTATCTCATCAATTGTATCTCATCAATTGTATCTCATCAATTGTATCTCATCAATTGTATCTCATCAATTGTATCTCATCAATTGTATCTCATCAATTGTATCTCATCAATTGTATCTCATCAATTGTATCTCATCAATTGTATCTCATCAATAGTATCTCATCAATTGTATCTCATCAATTGTATCTCACAATTGTATCTCATCAATTGTATCTCATCAATTGTATCTCATCAATTGTATCTCATCAATTGTAATCTCATCAATTGTATCTCATCAATTGTATCTCATCAATTGTATCACATCAATTGTATCTCATCATTGTATCTCATCAATTGTATCTCATCAATTGTATCCATCAATTGTATCTCATCAATTGTATCTCATCAATTGTACTCATCAATTGTATCTCATCAATTGTATCTCATCAATTGTATCTCATCAATTGTATCTCATCAATTGTATCTCATCAATTGTATCTCATCAATTGTATCTCATCAATTGTATCTCATCAATTGTATCTCATCAATTGTATCTCATCAATTGTATCTCATCAATTGTATCTCATCAATTGTACTCATCAATTGTATCTCATCAATTGTATCTCATCAATTGTATCTCATCAATTGTATCTCATCAATTGTATCCTCATCAATTGTATCTCATCAATTGTATCTCATCAATTGTTATCTCATCATTGTATCTCATCAATTGTATCTCATCAATTGTATCTCATCAATTGTATCTCATCAATTGTATCTCATCAATTGTATCTCATCAATTGTATCTCATCAATTGTATCTCATCAATTGTATCTCATCAATTGTATCTCAACAATTGTATCTCATCAATTGTAATCTCATCATATCTCTCATATCTCATCATTACTCATCAGTATCTCATCAATTGTATCTCATCACTGTATCTCATCACTGTATCTCATCACTGTATCTCATCACTGTATCTCATCACTGTATCTCATAAATGTCTAACCTGTGACCCAATCACTTATTTTTTAATTGCATTACCTAACAGGATACTCCATTCTACTGAATACACAGCAACACAGTAAATGACCATATGACCTGTCTTTGTAAAACTCATTTGTGCTAAATTGTTATCTGTTTACAATAATGTTTTTACCACTGAATGTATCATTGCTTAGTTAATCTGAAGTTAATTTTAAGCCTGCCCATAATGCTCTGCATACAAGGGGTTTTGGCATGTTGCACTTTAGTAACTGTATTCCTTTGTACTTATCTGTATCGTGTTCAAATAAATAAAGTAGAATGACATGGAGAGCATATAAATCTGTAGGGGAAGGAAGGCGGGGTAGGAGTCTTCCTCGAAAAGGTTGGAGGGAGGGAGTAAAGGAGGTTTTGTGGGCGAGGGGCTTGGAATTCCAGCAAGCATTCGTGAGCGTGTTAGACAGTGAATGGAGACGAATGGTATTTGGGACCTGACAAGCTGTTGGAGTGTGAGCAGGGTAATATTTAGTGAAAGGATTCAGGGAAACCAGTTATTTTATATGGCTAGACTTGAGTCCTGGAAATGGGAAGTACAATGCCTGCACTCTACAAGAGGGGTTTGGGATATTGGCAGTTTGGAGGGATATGTCATGTATCTTTATACATATATACTTCTAAACTGTTGTATTCTGAGCACCTATGCAAAAACAGTGATTGTGTGAGAGTGAGGTGAAAGTGTTGAATGATGATGAAAGCATTTTCTTTTTGGGTCACCCTGCCTCGGTGGGAAACGGCAGACTTTAAAAAAAAAAAAAACTTATGTATACCAAAGAAAATGGGGTTGTACGAATTACAGTACATATGGGGTAACTTTGGTATTTTACATTCTAGCACTGCGGGAGACATAGTAGTACAGTACTGTATACAGGTTTATCTTTACATTTTTGTTTTTTAAGGGTGATGTATGAAGCTGAGTTTGAAATTAAAGTGTTTGGGGGCACATTTAGGGTTTAAACTGTAAAAATAGGCTTTTTTTTTTTAACCGCGTTCAGAATTCACGGTTTTTCCAAATTCGTGGGTGGTCTTGGAACATAACCCCTCGCGAATTTGAGGGGACTACTGCATCAGTTACCTTGGCATCAAACTCGAGTCTTACAGATAATTCTTGCACTAAATTTTCCAATGGCAAGTTTAATAAGAATGTACAAGTTTCAGGCTGGTGATGCTGTGCATACAAAAAATTTTTTGGAAAGGGTAAGCCATGGGCAATGTAAAATTCTTGAGGTTTTAGGTACTAAGAACTATAAGGCTAAAGTTGACAGGCTTGAAAAAACTAATCTCCTGCCCAAAAAATGAACCCCTACTGGTTCAGTAGTAATAGTAGTAGCTCCTGGGACTGAAAATAATTTGGTGCAGAATGTGGAGCTAGCATTAGATGCAAGTATGGGTAAATGGGACAGAGATGGAAGGGGAGAGTCTTCCAGCAGTGCAGAGTCTTAGAAGTTCAGGTAGTATAGCAAAATCTACCAGAAAGGCTCAATTTGTAATCATGAAGGTTATGAATTCATTACAGTCGGCTTAGTATGGTACAGTAACCACACTGCATTAAAATACAATTTATGGGGGAAAGTAATGTTCGGTATCGAGAAGTGAATAATCCAGTAACACATGATCGAAGAATTACAATCCAAAGCTTCAGCCATCATGTTATTTATACTTTATGAGGGAGTTGAGAAGTCTTACTTAGTGGTTGTTGTGATGTCTGCTAATAAGCCAGTCATGTGCTACCATGGCTTCTATTCACTTGTACAGGAGGGAAATGCAGCTGATCAACAGTGTTCAATGATTAAAGTGCGTAGATCAGTAAATGTACTTTCTTTTTTTTTTTTTTTACCTTTGTTTGAAGAATCTGCAACAGCAGAAGTACGCTGTCTTCTTGGTGTCTCCACGTTGGGATTTGAGGTTTCCACAGTGACGCCAAGTGAAGAGGGACTTTGTGAATCTGGCTCCTTCTGAAGAAGTCCTTTCTCACCATCCTCCATTGTTTTAGGACTTGTAGAGCGATCTGAAAGCATTTTAAACAAGCCTGTATAAGCAGTATAGTCTCTTCACAAAAAATAGGATTTTAATCAGTATTTTAACATCAGTACACTAACACAACATAAAATTTACATCTTCAAAGAGAAGGTCTCAAATTAATTGAAGTTAGAACAAGAAAATGATTACTAAGACATTAAAAAAAAAAAATTTTTTCAACGAACCGGCCGTATCCCACCAAGGCAGGGTGGCCCAAAAAGAAAGCCGAAAGTTTTTCTTTTTAAATTTAGTAATTTGTACAAGAGAAGGGGTTACTAGCCCCTTGCTCCCGGCATTTTAGTCGCCTCTTACAACACGCATGGCTTACGGAGGAAGAATTCTGTTCCACTTCCCCATGGAGATAAACAGGAACAAGAACTAGAAAGAAAATAAAAGAAAACCCAGAGGGGTGTGTATATATATATATATGCTTGTATACATGTATGTGTAGCGTGATCAAAGTGTAAGTAGCAGCAGCAAGACGTACCTGAAATCTTGCATGTTTATGAGACAGAAAAAAGATACCAGCAATCCTACCATCATGTAAAACAATTACAGGTTTCTGTTTTACACTCACTTGGCAGGACGGTAGTACCTCCCTGGGCGGTCGCTGTCTACCAACCAAGATTATAAAGGCCAAGTATCATCCAGAATTATTAGATGATAATTTCTCCCTCAAGCCATCAAACAAAAGTGACCAAACTAGAGAATACCCTATTCCTAATGTTTAGAAAATGACTTATGGTATAAAACAGCTGTAAAATACAGCAAGCTAACCACAGCCCGAAGAAGTTTAGACCTGCATACATGCTAGTTTTGACTGGCAAATTAATCATGAGTGTATACGAACTTCAATCGAAGTACAAATATCCTGCACATAGGAGAAAAACTTATGACTACACGTTTGTCCAACTTGGATTAGTTAATAGTCTAAGTTGAACCAAAATGCTGTCTTTTTTTCTCCCATGTGCAGGTTATTTGTGCATTGTTCCTGTCACAGTACAGTAGAGCCCCCATTACGGCATTCCGCTAATACAGACATTTCAAATTAAGGCAAACACTATGGCTCCCCCCCCCCCCACCTGACTTCCTAATACGGTCACTGTGGGCCACCCAACTTGTTTACATTCTCCATGAGCAAAACTCTCCATTATGTCTGAAAATTTTCCAAGATTTCAAGCATTTTAAAGTTATTTTATATACAGGTCTCCCTCAACATTCACGTTTTCCACTTTCATGGGCTTCGAGCATTCGCAAATTCCCAGCTGTCCAATCATATTTAAAATATGTCATTACACATGTTAGGAATTGTGGCAGTGTTTGTTTGGAGACAGGACAAGATAATACTTCAATATGACACTAATATCAACTCTATGGATTATTTATCTATCAAAACTCATCTAATATGGAATAATAAACAATATTAATAACCTAGAAACATGACACATACTCTAGAATGAATAAAATACGTCGTTAACCTTTTGACTGTCGCAACCCTGAATCCTGAAGTGTCTCCTGGTGTCGAAAAAAATTTTGGGGGAAAAAAAAAAAAAATTTCCCAATGGTAATGACACCAAAAGCAAGAAATTTTATCAAAAACTTATGGAATTACGCTCCCATGAAGTTAGCAATCTCGGTGACATACATGTATTGGCAATTTTGCCGACTTTGAGCCCTATTTTTAGCCAATTCCATTGTTCCAGTCGACCAAACTCATAGCTATTTCTTTAGAACTCCATTTGTTCCTATCAACTGAGTACAAGAAACCGTGCATTTACCTATTTCAACTACCCAATAAAGTGACCAGAAATTGGCAATTTGGCCAATTTCATGCAAATTAAAAAAGATGCCAATTTCAAAATAGGGTCCAGAATCAACAATGCAGACATTCTTGGCACTAAAATAACATATCCTCTGTTCATTAGTCACGTCTCCAGGCCCCTCTTATATTACTCTTGCTTTCTATTTTGATATTTTATTCACACAAAAAAATAGAAGATTTACTGTTATGCAAATTACTGCATTATTGTAAAAATGGTATAAATAGTATCAGTGCACTAGTGAAAGAATATCAGACTCCCCAGTTGACGTGTATTGGACGTGTGGTGCGATTTGCCTACTCCTGAACATGGGTAAAAATCGGACATTTCCACTACAGTGGAACCTCAAACATCGAACTTAATCCGTTCCAGGAGTTAGTTATAAATTCAAAAAGCCTGAAAAGCGAAGCAATATTTCCCATAAGAAATAATGGAAATAAAATTAATCTGTTCAAAAAAAAAAAAAAAAAATTATAGAGATTATAGTTTTACATAAATACATATAGTGTTCAATTATGTATTAATAAATTTAAATAAACATAAAATAACATTTTACTTTCCTTTACTGAAGATTCGTGATGGCATCTGGAAGATAGGGAGGAGAGAGGGAGTTGGGGTTAGTGTTTGGAAGGAGAATCCCCCTACATGAGGACTTCAGGTATCGAAGCCCTCTCAGGGGTTACTTCCCTTCTGTCTTTTAATGCCACTAGGACCAGCTCGAGAGTCACTGGACCAGTCTCACGAAATAACTGTCCACAGTCCTCTGTTTCTGGTGATTCTAAGATTTTCCTAAAATGGGACATGGTTGTCACTGAACTTGTTGCAAAGATGGCTTGTTTCAGCTTGCTCAGGGTGGTACTTCTCCACAAACATTTGGACATCATTCCACTTCTGTATTATTTCCTTCTTCACATCTATGGTGTTTCTCACTTTTTACCACAGGGGTACCACTAGCAAGTTTCTTTGGACCCACTGTAGCTTATTTCAGAGTCCCACAAGCACTAAACACAATGAAATAATCATAAAATGTTCGAATGAGAGCACAGGTTAGTGTTTAACCAAGCATCAACAAAACCAGACTGGCTCACGGAGCCTGCGTGAGGACGCAGACAGCGGGCTGCCGGACAGGTCCAGTACCCGGCAGTTCAAAAATACAGGCGAGTTCGATAATAGGGACAAAGTTGGTTAGAAAAACAGGTTCTATTTACGAAGTTCTATAAGCTATACATTCGAAATTTGAGGTTCCACTGTACTTTGAGCTCAATTTCAAGGTCGTTTTCATAGTGAAACTAATCAAAATCATCTCTATTTCTGTAATACATTTTCCTTTCTATCAAACGAGATCAAGAAAACGAGAATACAGCCATAAATACTATAGGAAAATACACATCAGTCGGCGTTTTAATCCAAAAACCGTACTCGGAGTTTATTTTCCTCTCATTATGCACTGTATGCTGCAGGATTTTTTTATACATTGCACACTGACCACACAGACCCATTCTCTCACATGGGCCTACCAGCTTTCTCCTGCTCAATTTGAAGCCGCTAGAATTATTGAGCATACTATATACGTCCAAAACACTGGCTTGTAAGACGTATATATACACAGAAACAGTCAGAGGGTTAATTAACCCTCTGACTGTTTTGGTTGTATATATACGTCTTACGAGCCAGTGTTTCAGACTTATATACGTATACTCAATTCTAGCAGCTTCAAATCAAGCAGGAGAAAGCTGGTAGGCCCACATGTGAGAGAATGGGTCTGCGTGGTCAGTGTGCACCATATAAAAAAAAATCCTGCAGCACGCTGTGGTCTCATTTGATAGAATGGAAAACGTATTACAGAAATAGAGATGATTTTGATTAGTTTCACGATGAAAACGACCTTGAAATTGAGTTTAAAGTAGCAGAAATGTTCGATTTTTAGCAATGTTCAAGAGTAAGCAAATCACACCACACATCCAATACACATCAACTGGGGAGTCTAATATTCTTTCACTAGTGCACTGATATTATTTATACCATTTTTACAATAATGTAGTAGTCTGCATAACAGGAAATCTATTTTTTGTATGAATAAAAAATCAAAATAGAAAGCAATAGTAATATAAAAAGGGCCTAGAGACGTGACTAATGAAGAGGATACGTTATTTTAGTGCCAAGAACGTCTACATTATCTAGACCCTATTTTGACATTGACATCTTTTTAATTTGCATGAAATTGGCCACTTTGCCAATTTCTGACCACTTTATTGGGTAGTTCAAATTGGTAAATGGGCAGTTTCTTGTACTCAATTGATAGAAAAAAATGGAGTTCTACAGAAACAGCTATGAGTTTGGTCAACTGGAACAATGGAATTGGCCAAAAATAGGGATCAAATTCGGCAAAATCGTCAATGCGTATCTGTCGCCAAGACTGCTAACTTCGCGGGAGCGCAATTCCGCGAGTTTTCAACCAAATTTCGTACTTTTGGTGTCATTACCATTGGGAAAAGATTGTCATTTCATAAGAATTTTTTTTTTCAAAATTTTTTTCGACTGACAGTTCCAGAAAGGGGCTTGCGACAGTCAAAGAGTTAAGTGTCACAAGTGTTGTTGTTAGGTGTACAAGGGCCACAGAGCATAAGCTGTACATAAGGGTGGTGAAGGCCAGCAGAGGCGGTAGAGACAGTGGTGTTGTTAATTGCCCTATATAACTCCAACAACAATGGAGGAGTTAGGTTCATGCTTTCCCCTCAGAAAGCCCCCCCGCTCCCCCAGCAACTTCTCGGCCACCCAGAGGTAGCAACCAAGGCTGGCAAATATGGCCAGTGGTTCCCTGGACAGGTAGTGGGCCACTGGCAAGGTGCCTCAAAGCTGAGTACGTGGTACTACCAAGGACCACTTGTATATCGCCTGGGGGTCCTGTAATTAAAGTCAAGATTGACCAGGATGCAGGAAAAAATGCCTTCCTGCTGGCCTCTTCAAGCAACTACATGACTAGTGGGGTCTTGAGACCCATTGTGACCTCTCGTCCTGTTTTTTGTACATCTCGGGATGATCTGCAGATCCACAAATACCTACTCTGAGAGAACAAAGAAAGTGCTTTGTTGCACGTTATATAATGCGACAGCCTATCATAATCTAAGTCAGTACAGTGGTCCCTCAATCGTCCGGCCTGAAAGTCGTC